GCAAGTCACTGCTGTTTTTGGGGGATAATTAAAGATACGACAGCCACTTTTTATTTCTGCAAAGCATTAGTTTTCCAATAAAATCTTGCAGCTGAAAATGAACAAAAAGATTATCGATAACAGGATTGTCAAGTTTCTGCAAGTCACTCGTATTATTTTGGGATGCTTAGAAATATGGCATTCACTTTTATTTCTGCAAAGCATTAGATTTCTAATAAAATCTTACAGACATGAATTGAGCAAAAAAGTTCAATGATAGGATTGTCAAAGTTTTTGCAAGTCACTGCTATTATTTTGGGATAACTAATTTCTGCAAAGAGCAAACAGCTAGGTATTTTCTCAATGCTGAACATTGAAGTAGCATTTTTTTTCCTCGCTTTTAACAATATTGACACAGTGAACCACCAATTTCAAAAGAGAAAAAGTGAGAAGCTTTCCTTGCTTGCAATTCTTGGATATTGTGTTAAAATAAAAGCAGCAGACTTCACAAAACTCAAGTTCGTTTTTAGTCCTTCATTGTCAGAAACTTGGGGATGTTCTCTCACAGAGTGGGATACTTAATTGATAACAGCTGTACAAGTGCACTTTGGTAGGTGGAAAAAACTTCATGGTTTGGCAATTATGGAACCCTTGTGCTTGACATGGCTAACTGATTAACTTAACCTAGCTTCATGGAGCACACTTGTGGAAAGTATCTAAGGAATACATTGTACAGTCTCAGGGGTTACAGCTGGACAAATGAAGTAACAAGGCAAAATAACTCTCCCTCTTTTATAGTCCATGGCATTTTGGTATATCTGTATAGGACATGTCTGCAGAACTTTGAAATTAGGCCGATTCGAACTTTCCTGTACACATCTAGAAGCTTTTTGGCAATGTTTTGAGAGCAATTGAATGCACAAGAAGGTTAATCACACCCACCCCCCCCCACCCCCAGGCCCCAGCTGTTAAAGGAGGCATATTATTCAGTTAATATGATTGCATTCAACTAGTCAGCTTGTGTGGAGTTGGATCGATGTACATAGAATAATAGTTTTATTGGGAACGCGCCCTATCTATGTCTCCATCTTGAGGGCTTCAAGGTCAAGATTTTTCATTGCTTAATTCGAAATGTTTGTCAAGGTGCACGGTGGGCAGAGGGGGGAATGTTGACAAGGGGGCTCCCAACATCTCACTGAGCCTGTGCATACAGTCTCCTCCAGTCCACACTCTCGAGTTTTATTGACTTTCACTACTGGTCAACAGAAGGTACTGATCCCTGCAACTTGGAATTCTGAACCCCAATCTATTGATGGTGAATTTTGTTGAGAGCACTTGTTCAGAAAGTATTAGTTTGCTGAGTGTGATTTTGAATAAAGAAAGCAGGCCCGTAGCCAGCAATATCAAAGGGGGGGGGGGGGGTGTTTTCTTTTTCTGAAAAAGTGGACTTTTTACCATGTAATCCCCATGTACCTAGGTCAAATTTTACCCAGAGTGGAACCCCCTGGCTACGGGCCTGGAAAGTATTGTACGTGTACATTGACCACTCCCTATAGCATGTTTTTAAACATGTGCAGTGTTTATATTTGTTTAAATTGTACTTCTACTTATTTATCTTTGGTTAAAGTAGACTCATATTTTGGCCTTAATCAGATCAAATCCAGGCATAAGATCTTTCGTGAAAGTTACAGGGCACACATATAAACTTAGCTTGTTATTTTGATGTAGAAGTTTCAGGTACTATTCTCAGAGTGATTACACTTGGACCGAGCAGCAGTCAAGTTTTCTTTCTTTTTTTTTTTCCAAATTTTATTCACTGAAATGCATTGTCCAGTGCCCAGTTAAGGCACGGGATAGTTGGGGTTGACTGATTGATTGTATTTTAAACAGTAAAGGGACTGACTTGAATTTAATTAGTGTGAGCTGATATTAAAAGTAGCTTTGAGAAGGCTCTTCAAAATGTGGAGTGAGACACATTATGTGCGGATAATATAGTGGATTTTATGAAAGTGACATTTTTGTGATAGACAATTATTTGGTGTGGTGAATTCTAGATTTAGGTAGATTATAATTTAGCAAGATACATATAAATAATAACAACTAGTATATGATAGTTTCCTCACAGCAATAGCGAGAATTATATTAGTTTGTTTCCATTCCAATATTGTTGTTGTGAAGATTAAAACTGTGTGTAGTACTCTGATGATGATAATTTGTTACTGAAATACAGTTTAACTTAAGTATATAAGGTAAAAAAAATCTTGGTATTCTGGCAAATTTTTATTAACAAGATAGTTTTAAATTTATTGTTCCTTTGATTAATTTTTGTAAAATTTTTTATCTATTCAGAATACAGAAACATAAAACGAGGCAGTGAACAATTGTATTAATTACTTAAATGGTGATATTGAATATGTAGTAAGATTATTTGAATGTGTTATTAATTAATTAATTTGTATTTTATTTTTTATAATTTGTTGTAGACTTATTTTTATTTTTGAACATTTTTTACAGGTTGATATAGACTGGGAAAAGATCGAGCAGAAGATAGAAATGGAATATTCCAAGGAGAAGGAGAGAGGAGGAGGGAAACGATAAGCCGTCTGCCCAGACATTTTACACCATTTCTCACAGAAAAAAAATGTGCAGAACCCATGCGTGATCATTTTATTATTAACACCAAAGATTTGAAAATATTTTTTAATCAACAATATGGAGCCTTCTCTCCAGTTGGAAGGAAAATATTGGAAGATGTGAGAAGAGATATATCATGCTTCTTTCTGTCTGACTATAAACTGAATAACTGTTAAAACTCAGAAAAATGCATTGAAAACGATTGTGTAGGAGACGCTTGTGTGAATAATGATTTAGTTTAAGTTAATGTTATTCACAAACATCTTGTGGACACCTGAAGAGCGAGGTAGAGTGACTGCCAGTAAGCTCACGACCCAATAAGATATTGTATTCATACGGAGTTGTCTAAGCTATTACATAATGGGTATCAGAATTAACATTCCGTCCAGTCGAACTTGTTTGAAAGTTTTGTAAATAAATGTGTGTAACCATGGTCTGTGTTTATTTATTTAATTATTGATTATATGTTTATTTATATTTTTTGAAAGCGTGTTTGCCATAGAAAAAAAACTGCAGAAAAATACCAGAGAGTTAATATTCCAGATGAACTTGAATATTCGCAAATTTTATTGCGAAGAAACCGTTCAGGCATATGCGCGATTGTTTTGCTTATGCCTTCAGCATTTTCTACACGCTGAAAGAGATGACAACAATCCAATAAGTTGAAGTGCTGAGACTATATTCGTAACATCTTTCGGTTCAGCCCATGAAAACCCACAGCGGTTCTTCTGGTTGTTCCCGTTATCTATAGAAAAAAAAATTAAATAAAAAACAAGTTGCTCATTTCACACGGCTAAAGTCGATCTAAATTTTAAGACTACAATTCTAGTCCACTTTGACTACAGGTAGATCGGTAGTAAACTGATTAATAGAAATAGTGCGCCTGTTTCATAACAAAAAAAGAAATATACATATTTTTCTGTTTTTTTTTTTCTCTAGGCCAATATTTAGCCTCTTTCATCCAGATTCTGCGGGTTTATCCTGAAATGAACCAAGCCAATTTTTTAGTCTAAAAAGTTCATCAAATATCGGTTTAAAGCTCTTTTTATGAGTCAACTCCCAGGTAACGACGGGTCGGCGTGGGTCATCCTCCCCTGTCAACTCACATCACCTGGCGTGACGCCTGTCTTTATTGTTTTTTGACATATTTGTTACGATGCCGCACATATCAAGTAAACAACGCACCTCCTTGTGCTCAATGGTCACGTTTTATCCAGACTGAGAGTCAAGGTTATAATAAATTGCCTTCAGTCTTTTCTCTGTTGAATTTTTCTAACATTGTCAGGTGATATAGGCCAGTATTGTTTTGTAACGTCAAACGCGCTGAAATATGGTTCTCGTGACCATGGGTGCTATTATCATTATGTAAGCTATGGTCGAGTCTTGACAGGTTAAAGAATGGGTCTTCACATTTTGAATACTATCATATCGGTAATCATGCCTGACGGCTTTTATTTTGGTGGAAATGGAACGGAAAACATAACATTTCTCTTCCCATGTGGTCGCTCTTCCATGCAGGGGACACGGAAGGCAAAGTTACACGTAGGTCTTGGATCGACCGTCGTTCGAGCCAGAAATGGGTCGTAACGCATCGACGCATTTGGATTGCATAGCGCTAGGACCCTTAACATGCCGTAGATCAGAGACAGTCTGAAAAAATAAGATACGGCCCGAATTTGAGTCTAAATTTTTCGGCCAACAATTTGCTCTTTTTGGGTTTAAGATAAAACAATAGAATAAACTAATTATCGATCTAGTATATAATTATCCTTATTTCTCCTTTTACAAGAACAGGTGCAATATTTTGTTTTTTTGGACTACTCGGGATTTACCTTGGGTGAAGGTGGACTCAAACTTTTCGAGCAATGTTTTTTTAAACAGCTCCTGGTGTTTTGTTATGCATCATACATGCACGCAAACCGCACGGTTTTTGTTTTAGTCGCTCACGAGGGGCGCTACAAAAGCGAATGGAAAGTGGTGAGTGTAAACACGCCTCTGATTTTTTACATAAGGGGCATTGACCTTGCAGTCGCAAGCGGCCACAATACGAACGCCCAGGTTAAATTTACTGTGACGTCCGCACACCTGGGGAGTGGAACCTCTCGTGTTAAGGTAAAGTAGGGCTCATTCCCAATAAAATATCGTTCTACGCAGATTAACCCAGCTCAGCTAAATACAAACAGATTAACAGGTTAACACGCCTCCTCTTATTTCTGCAACGAACTCCAAATAATCGGCTTTTTTTTTTAGTATTCTACTCAATGCCAAGAGGATGCGCGTTAATTACTTATTCTGATTGTGTTCAGCGAGAGTCTCAGCGGAGTTGGATCGATCTACATAGAACGCTAGTCTCATAGGAAATGAGCCCGTAGATTCAATCGATATAAGTGGTTAGTGCTAACAGATTCACATTCACCTTGGACTCGGCATTTACATGTGACATCGTTCTATTAGGGGACTCAGGTAGGTGAGAGATTTATTTAGAAACCCATTTCTTAATTCACCTTTACTGTCACTTGTTAAGATCCACAGACAGAGGGTGACAAGTGGCGAGAGTACTACTCAGACGTGGTATCAGTTAGGATGGAATGGCCATGGCAGCAGGACAAACCCCACCATGTGATATTT